ATATATATATATATATATATATATATATATCACTTAATATGGAGTAAAGAATATGTGATAACACAGGATGGCGATAAAATCTGTTCCCAACTTCAAGCAAATGTCCATTTTAAATGATATTGTAAGATGCTATCTCATTGGCTGATACCATTATCCAATCAAAATGGTGTTCTATCAGAATTTCGCATAAAATGCACCTACACGCATTAGCCCTTACCCTTTCTTGTCATGTTTATTATTATCTCACAAGTTCTTTACATCTGGCTTGCTGTTGTGTCGGCTCAGATTAAGAACTCGCTAGAAGAGATTCAAGTTGTTAACGTCACTCTACCACATGGCGGTGGTCTTGGGGGACTTCGGTGGCGAATTAACGGAGATAAGAATGTTGATGCGTACCTCGGTATTCCATTTGCAGAGCCACCAATTGGTGACCTTCGTTTTGCACCTCCACAACCTATAAGTCCGTGGAAAGGGACTCGCAATGCGACGACTAGGTGCAACGCCTGTTTACAGTACCATTTCGGTTCCTTTGATAATGCCAACCCGGCGGCTAAGATATGGGTTAATAATACAGAAATGAGTGAAGATTGCCTATATTTGAATGTATGGACACCAAGTAGCACTTCAGGTGGTCCCAAAGCCGTGATGGTGTGGATTTTCGGTGGAGGATTTTTCAGCGGATCACCCAACCTTGATGTTTACGATGGAAGATTCCTGGCAGCAATGGAAGATGTGGTGGTTGTTTCAATGAATTATCGACTTGGTCCATTTGGTTTCCTCTATCTCAAGTCTCACGTGGAGGGAAACATGGGACTCAAGGACCAACAACTTGCCCTCAAATGGGTGAAGGACAATATCGTAGCATTCAATGGCGATCCGGATCGAATTACAGTATTTGGAGAATCCGCAGGTGCTGTTAGTACTAGTCTTCAATATCTCAATCCCACTTCACGGACATATTTCAAACGACTTATCCTTCAAAGTGCAAGCCCTCTTAATAGGTGGGCTATTTCGACTGCCGATGACGCGCATGAAACTGGAATCGCGGTGCGTACTGATAATGTTATTAGAATGGTTTGACTGCGTGTTTGATGGTCTTGATAGAAGCGTACCTATGGTCCAACTATTATTACAAATGGCATTAATATAAGCAAGCATGAAAAATAAAACTGAGTTTTGGGTTTTCTATACTTTAATTCGTTTTTCAATCAATTTCGTAAAATCCGAAGAAAAATTACTTACCAGCTACCTTGTACATTGAAATTACGCCAAAAATTCATTAAGTTCTCAAATTTATCTAAAATAGAAATTTTGGAAAGGTAATATATTTTTGTTTGTTCTCTTACAAGGTATGTCCAATTTTTTAAAGAAAGAACACCACTGAAACGTGCAGATTATTGTCCACTGACTACTGACAAGACAATACAGATTTTTTGATTGCGAAACTTCAAAATGTCTAATATTTTAAATGACATTGGCTAAAATAATAATTTATTCATTGGTGGTGACCCTTTTTACATTCTTTTGATTCGTGTTTATTTTATTTAATATAAATTAGATTCCTCTGTATGAAATATAAAAGGTAGATGTTTGCCTCGATCTTTCTTAAATTACACATTTTTTTAACATTCATTTTAAGTCAGTAAACCCCCTGCCTTAATGGAGGTGATGTCCAATAATACTGCCATTAATCACCAAATAACACAGTCAGGTGTACCCAGTGATACAAAGCTTTCCATTGAACGAAATGGAACACGAGAAACTAGGTTGTTACAGTTTCAAGTTAGCACGATTAATGATTGTCTGTAATCAATTTAACAACACAACTTCAATAAAAACACGTGGATAATATGGCTCGAATTACTCTCAATGGAAAAATTTCCTCAATTAGACGACTGAAGACTTGCAATTTCAGATGAAAGTATCATTTAAGTGCACTTCTAAATGATTTGACTTAGTATATCGATATTTGTATAGTTCCTCTTAACACTTATAATATCGCGATAGTTGGCTTAATGGCATACGCAATCGTGATTTGATTTATTAAATTGCATCATCTCTTCCTGAACAATTGACCTCGCCTCAATTGTTGCCTTTTAAAAATTATTAAATTATAATGAGAATTTAATTGGGATGAAAAGCAAACTGCAAATTAAATGAAAATCAGAGATTTAAAAATAAAGGACGTATTTTCCATGTATTTGTACGAGGAAATGCTTAAATTAAATAATTAACTAAATAATAATGTAATGAAATATGGATCTTTGATAACTCAAGCTTAATCCCTATTTCTCTCTAGCATCTGCCTCTTCACCTTATTATTGATCTCATTTTGTCCCATCTCAGTTGCGTATGCTTGTAGCTACAATGACTAGTAAAACAAAACAATCTCTGACGATTTCATATTGAAAGAGGCAGCACTGAAGCAATCCCTTAAATCTAGTAAATAGAGGTTAGCTCGAGGTTCAAGTATCTGCAGTTTAAAGACTTTCATTCCCACCACCTTCCGCACACACATTTTTTCACTGCCTGCAACATTATTATTATTATTATTTCAAATAGGGGGTGCACAATAGACTTACCTCCACGTGGTGCATCATGGGCAACGTATA